CAAACCTGACAGGAGAGGGTCGTCCACCAAAACCCACAGAGTGGGTCAGGAGAACTTTAATCAGAGACGCATCCAGGAGGTCAAAGACCAACATGATGGAGGATCTGTCCACAGGACCACTCAGAGCTGGACTTCATGGTAGTGGTGAGCGATACTGCAAAATTTGGAATCGATCAATATCAAGTAAATGCAGGTCCAATATCGCCGATATTGATACCGATACGATACTTTTAATAATTACGGTGAATTTTGATGACTTTTAAGTGTTTTGTCATTTTTTCCTTTGGATCATTTATTAGTTAAAACCCAGGATAGAATTAGGCAAAGTTTATAATAAAAAATACTTTATTATAGTAAAAGATTTTTCTGAAAAAATAGAAAAGTAACAAAACAATTTTCCCCATGCCTTGTGATGGCTGCATTTTATCCTTAAACGACGTGCACAAAATGATCACTCAAGAATAAATTAAAACACTGTGTTCAGAAACGAAGATAATTAAATAAAAATTGTCCCTTATTGCACTCCTTATTTTATTAAATAAACAAACAAAGTTATCACACGGCAACAAAAGTTATTAAACAGTAAAATATAAAGGAATAAAACAAAATTTCTCCTCTTAAGGGAATTTCTTTTCTGGATTTGAAAAAAATAATTACAAATCTAAAATAATTAGTAAAAATACAATGAATAAAGTGTAAATAATAAAACAGCCTCCAAAGCCTTGAGGTCATAGAAATATTCCCAGCAGCCTCTGCTGCTCTGTGCTGTGACAGGAGCCGCATTTACAGTCGGCTCCATCTTTGATGAAACCGCAGCGGTGCATACTGCAGAGAAACTGAAGCTAAAGTATCGAGCTCATTACACTGGTACTGATCAATACCCATGATGGTATCGATATTATTGATATTTGGATCGATCCGCCCACCCCTACTTCATGGAGGAGAAGACACCAAACATGTGGAAGAAGCTGCTGTGGACAGATGAGACCAAACATCGAAGACAACATCACGTCTGAGATAAACCCACCATCTGTGCTCACGCTGAGGACACCTTCCCTACAGTGAAGCATGGTGGTGGCAGCATCATGCCGGGATGTTCCTCATCAGTAGAGACTGAAACTGGTCAGAGTTAAAGGAAAGATCATACTCGTTTGTTCCCCCAGTTTATAAGACATACTCCTGAATTGATTATTTGTTTTCTTGATAAATGAACTCTGCCTTTGGTGAAGGAATGTGATTATGGGGTCATGGTCATCTCGGACCATGGTCCACTTGTCATGAAATTGACTATCCCGGTCACAAAATCAGTGTATTGACCTTGGAGATTCAACCCCTTACTTCTATCTGACGAGGACTTTACCTAATTTCTTCCATGTGAACTTGAAATTTTCCTCAAAGCTAACCAGGAATGCCACTCTGTCCTGTCTGGGAGGCATTAAAGGCCTACCTGAGGGGTCAAATAATGTCCTACTGTGCAAACAAGAAGGGCCTGGTACGGCTAGGACAGTTAACAGAAATTAGACAGAACATACAGCCACTCCTCCTCACAGGATCTAATGAAAAAATGTGTTACTTCAAACTGAATTTAATACTTTGTCCACTCAGCAGGCAGATTATTTAATCTCTAAATCTAGACAAGGTTACTATGAACGTGGTGAAAAAGCTGGGCGCCTGCTTGCACATCAGTTGTGGCGACAGTCAGCCAACCAGACTATAACAGCAATAAACACTGAACAGGGAACTGCATGCCATGACAATACTGAAATTAATACGTTTTAGTAAATTTTACCAGTCATTGGACACGACTGAGTCATCAGCTAATGTATCGGACATGGAGGACGTTTTTGGAGATCTTGAACTTCCTTCAGTGAATCCTGAGCTCGTCGGGGACTTGGAGAGGGAGTTCAATGTAGCTGAGATAAACGCTGCAATCAACAATATACAAAATGGGGGATTCCCTGGACCATATGGGATGTCTACTCTCACCCTTATTAATGTCTGTGTTTGAGGAGTTACTTGCTGCACAGACATTACCACTGTCCATCTATCAAGCTGTATTCTCACTGATACCTAAGAAAGATAAAGACCCTCTAAACTGCATCTCATACAGCTCAAGAAAGTTCATCAGAGACTCTACTTCCTCAGGCGGCTGAGACGAGCTGGTCTGGAAGCTCAGTCCTCACCTCCTTCTACAGGTGTGCAGTGGAGAGCATCCTGTTCTCCAGCATCAACGTGTGGCATGGAGGCTGCACAGCTGCAGAAAGAAAAGCTTTGCAGAGAGTGGTGAAGGCTGCACAGAAGATGTTGGAGTCAGTCTCCCCACCATCACAGACATCTACACCTCCAGATGCAGGAAGAGGGC